TCTTCACTTGAAATTGTTGCCCGGAATTGCATGTCAAACAGTTTCGATGATGATGGATTTGGATCTGTTATTGTTATGATTCGAATGAATTCGAATGCGTAATTGCTTGGCACAATACCTAAACAAGCGGGCCGTGTTTTATTTATTATCATTAAGCGCCCAACTGAATGTGGTATATATGTATGAGCAGATCAAAAGATTTACAACACATTTACAATAAATTGTTTAATAATTGTTTAATAAACATTAAACGACTTAGCCCAAATATTAAACAGCCGCTGCCAACGCATAAAGTCTCAAAAATAAAGTACATAAAATTTTATTCGTTTCCCCAACAGGCGAGCAGACGCTAGTGCTAGAGCCACAGTGAAACCATATGGTGAACAACCACCGGCTGACTCTGAGCGACGACGACGACGACGACGCGTTAAGCCCTCTGATCCATTTACCATAAATATGTTGATATATCACAGCGCAGGATTAGCTTCCTGTTCGCGACCATATGGAGCCGAATCGGGGCAATCGTCGAGCAGCTTACCGAGTCTCTCTGTCTGTAGTCTCGGCTCCCGCTTGACACTTCAACATTTCAAATATATGAAGTGTTAATTTGTAAATGAAATTGGAATGTTTATTGTTATGCGTATGCTTCCTCTTCTTGTGCTTTATGTGAATGCCAATTGGTTTTTGTGGTCCGTTAATCCCCACTGAGTGGGCTACTCTAAGGGCTGGGTGTGTGAAGTCTATAATGAATAAACCCTATATATAGTCCTATAGAGCATAGGATATATAATAAAAAGTTTTAGTTTCTGCTGCCCGATTGATCAACTGAAACGATGATGAAACGATTGATTGCCAGATTGACAAATGCTGATTGACTTGAAAGACGAGCATTTAATTACTGTTTGATTGACTGATTGAAATAATAGCAGACTGCAAGCTTGATTGACTAATTGACCGATTGAGAGTTTATTTCTGCCATTAACTGATTGAGAGATTGATTGAAAGTCTAACTGATCATTTAAATGATTGAGTGATTGATTAACTCAGTTAGGCAACTTACACTTTGATTGGAAGAAACACAACCATCTGATTGATTCAGAGTCCTGTTAGAAGACTAGCTAATCTACATATTGATAAGCCCCTTTCATTTGCACGCATTATTTGGAATATTAGAGTGAAATATATATACGCCGTTCATTCAATTTCGTTACCAAAATTTCTGCACCTTTCCGTAATGTTTATTTCCTTTACTCTGTCATGCCTAAAACTTTAATCCAATAATTCACAGATGTTTTTTCTCGTCTTCTTCTCCTTTGTTTATTGTTTTTATTAGTTTTCGCCTTTATATTATTTCGATATTTTGTAGCGCATCAATATTATCTTTTCATTAGAGCAAATGCAAATAGTAGATTTCGAAAATTTGGTGAACGCCCACAGCTGCACCGATTCGCTACCTGATCCAGCCACAGATATATATAGATATTTTTATACATATCGAGTTTTCCATTTTTGTTTATTTTCGCTTGGTTTCGGACATTCGCTTTTTTCTTTTGGATTTTCGGTTTTTGTTTTGCGGCTGCGGCAAAAGGTGTGTTTGCTTGCAGTTGAGTTTGTTTTTGGTTTGACTGAATGCCATTCAATCTAAATAAATAATATGCACACAAATATTTTCTACAAATATGCAAAGTCAATATTTATTATAGAGCTTCCTTTTGCGGACTAAAGAAATCCGAAGAAGATAAGTAACCTGTGTGGATAATTAAAAAAACGAAACAAATTGTTTAAAACCAAATTCAATTTTCGTTTGTACTTGTGATTTTTGTGGGTGTATATTGAAATTGTATTTTAGGATATTTTTCTGTGGAAATGTCTGCGCTTTCTCATAGAGATTGTCTGAGCTGCAAACAAATTTGCTGTTCCAGCATTTTGTGTTGAGTAAAGGGAAAATCGTGTGTTTCTTTAATCTATTATCCAATAGAAATTTAATATTATTTTTTATTGCTTTATAAAATTTATATACATTAAAAATCAGATTTGATTTAGATTAAATGTCGAAAATATAATCCTTTCTAGCTCTGTATGTTTATAAATACTTTTATTTTTAGATATTATTTTTCATCATTTTCTCAAAAATGATTTTCAATATATTTTCTTGTTATCCAAATATTGATATATTACATCTTATAAAGAGTTGACCCAATAAATTTTCTTTTTTGGTTTCTCATTCTTCAGCTCACAATTTTCAACTAATGAGCATGTTTTCTTATTATATACAACAAAATCCAGTTAGGTGAAAACTAAAAAATCTATTCAATTTTTGTTCGCATGCACCAAATTTGCTGCTACAATTTTTGCCAGCTCGTTAGAAAGTTTGCGCAAAACAAAAAACAAGTTTGGGAAAAGGAAAATATTTCATTCTTTCTTTTTTTTTCCACTAGACAATACATAATGACATTATTATTATAAGCGTGCTTTTTTGTGGATACAACAAGAGCAGCATGTAAGAAAAGAAAGAAAGAAATAATATAAAGAGAGCACATGGCGCAGGGCAGGAGGAGAGGGACTTGGCTTGGGCTGGACTGGAGGACTTGGACCGCCAAAGGAGCGTGGCGCAGGAAGCACGAAAGTGTCGCAAGTGCCTTCTTTTGTTCTTCGTCACGTTCTGCGGTACACTCGCCAGCAAAGTAAAGTAAGCAACGCAATGGCACAAAACCACCTAACAGCAACATATAGAGAGAAACAAGTGAGCTGTGGA